TTATTGTTTCAAATGCAGTTTTGTAAAAGTAGACTCAGACTTTTTATAGTGTTTTATTCTTTAGGGGTGGTGAGTATATAATAAACAGTCTATGGGGGATTTGGTAATGAGTCAGGACAAGATTTTGTTATATCTGCTTGGCACACAAATGATTTACACTATTCCATCTAATAAAGATGATAGGCATAGAAATCAGCAAAATAGTATATACAAACATCACTTGAATATATCACTCTGCATCTGCCTACCACTGAGCACTCATACTACCAGGTACATATATCTTACACCTGGGTGGAGAAAGGCAACTGCAGATGGAATGCCTCATATAGAGGACATGTCACCTTGTGGGGTAGCTCTAAAGGAGAAACCACTCTTCCACAGAGTTTTTAAAATCTGAAATGTTTTTAAGTTTAATTGTTTAATTTTACTGTTTCTTTTTACATATTCCTGTTGTTTTGATCAAACAATTGTTATTAGATTGTTGAAAATGTATCAGGGATTGCACAAAAAGGTGGATGACCCATAAATGATTGCAGTCTTTTTAAGCTAGCTTCATATAATCACAACCTCATTGGATATCACATAGGAAGTAACGCCTCATGACCATGAAGTCAATAACATATGGTATCTACTTCTCAGAATATCACTTCTCTATACCTATCACCACAAGAGTACAAGTTGCTTCAATTGCTAATGGGAATGATTATTTCTGAATAGCAATAGGTTGACAAATTCTCTTTGAGAAAAAAATTAAAAAACATTATCAGGAAACATCCATTTCCCCTATATTAATATTGGTTCATGAAAACATTTCTTCCCTAGATTTACACATGTGAATGAGCTTCCCATGGATTTTGACTGGTATGTGCAAATTAAATGTGATTTTACTAGTGCACTTGCAGCCTATACCAAATTGGTAATCTTAAAAGGTTTGATATCTTTTTCTGCATTTAATATTGGTTTGGTGTTATGACTTGAAAATAAGGAACAAGAGTTATGGAATCTACATCTACAAAGTCCTCTAACAATATATTGTTTATAGCTCTTTCCAACGTTTAGTTCATTTTAGACCATCTAACAGATTTTTAATTCAACTTTTCAACTTTTCAATTCATCTTCCTTACAAGATATATATCAAACCATAATATATCAATTTTGCAGTTCATGAATCTAGTTCCTTACGAAGATAGTAATGTACCCAGTAATTAGTCTGGGCTTATATATTCTTTTTTCAACCACTCAACATTGAGTAAAAATTGATTCACAATAAATACACATATAAGTTGATTTTTGTTTCATTTTAATCAGATAAAAGTGACTTTGCTGCTGATCAGTAGGAGAAAGTCTGTATTAGAATGTCAGAGAATAGGTGGCACTTGCATGAAAGAGATATGTTTTAATGCAAATCCTTAGTACACAACCCTGAGTGGCTAACAACAAGTTGCTTGAAATATTTGAATTGTGTTTAAACATATCTTCTGTAATGCAAGCAGCTCTGTCCACTCTTTCATCATAGACAAAATCATATTTTGATGACAGGTCAGTTTTGAAAGAAGAAGAAGCAAACATGTCATAAGTCCACTCACCTGCTAGGGACAAAAACAAGTTTTGTTTATTATTGGGGCGTCAGAGGACGTTATTGTTTTTTCGACATTTGGAGGCAGAGGAGGAAATATTGCATTTCTTTGATTTCCCTGTTTTAATTAGTTTATGACGTCCAATCAAGGAGCTCATAACCTCAATGTCAAGTGTTAATTTGCATTGCGTGTCATCCATGCACCTGTATGGAACTCTAGCTTTGGAGAAAAGACCACAGTTTGCTGGAAATGAAAGGAATACAAGCTAGATAATGTCTTTATCTAAAAAAATATACATTATAATACTGGTTATCTCTTCAATACTACAGGGCAGACTGGATAAGGATCTGTTTGTCTATGTTTGTGTACCTTGAGTACATTTGTGTGTGTTTTGTAAGCAACAGACTAAAACCTAGCCAGGCCTGCAATGCTAGACTACTTGCATAGTTAACTATATACATATCTAGTGCCAAATGCTAACTGGAGCTGACAGCATTAGTTGTAATGTTGATGTTGTTATCATTTAAAAATTCATGATTAAATGGTAATCCAATAATATTTTGGCAAAAGGTGCAATACAAACTTTCCCAATCTTAAAATGGTACATATAAACCTCTTGTCACATAGTGTTTGCTTTCCGTGAATGAGTGTATGCAAAATATGTATACTAGTTCCTATGAGGATTTCAGAAACAGTTCTTACAAGAACTGAGGGAGGGGAGGGGTATAAACAGAGGACACGATCGCAACTACTTTAAAAAGAGTCAAGTTGAGGCAGTTTCGGTAGCCTTGTGCGTCACCCATTAAAATGTGTGAACATGAGAGAGACGTAATATGTAATCCAAACATGATTGTATTGGAATTACCTTTGAGTTGATTTTTTGAAGGTATTTTCTATCGTGTTAGAGCAATAAGTGAAAAATTGATGGTATATTTCAACACTGAATAGTATATTTTAACACTGAATAGTATATTTCATCACTGAATAGTATATTTCAACACTGAATAGTATATTTCAACACTGAATAGTATATTTCAACACTGAATAGTATATTTCATCACTGAATAGTATATTTCAACACTGAATAGTATATTTCATCACTGAATAGTATATTTCATCACTGAATAGTATATTTCAACACTGAATAGTATATTTCATCACTGAATAGTATATTTCATCACTGAATAGTATATTTCAACACTGAATAGTATATTTCATCACTGAATAGTATATTTCATCACTGAATAGTATATTTCAACACTGAATAGTATATTTCAACACTGAATAGTATATTTCAACACTGAATAGTATATTTCATCACTGAATAGTATATTTCAACACTGAATAGTATATTTCATCACTGAATAGTATATTTCAACACTGAATAGTATATTTAAACACTGAATAGTATATTTCATCACTGAATAGTATATTTCAACACTGAATAGTATATTTCAACACTGAATAGTATATTTCAACACTGAATCATAGGAATTAACTTTATATTCAAGGTGAGATTGCTCTTTCAATACTATTAGGTGGTGTCAAAAAGCGGAGGCCAAAAATCCGGATTTTAGTTATCCGGATTTTAGTTATCCTCTTAATTGCTGTCTGTCATCAATTATCCCATTAAAAATCCTCTAACAAAGCAAGAAAATTCTCCCTTGAAAGGATTTTTCAAGGGATTTTTCTATGTGACACCGCCTTATTTGTTCAAGAAATCTTTAGATCTTAGATTTTAAAAATCCAATCATTAAATTCAATGTTTATTCTGTGACATAAGATTCATGTTTTATATCCAGCTTGCTGTACCATGATAGCAAAATTCAAGAAACATTGCATAGGCTTAGACTTGAGAGGGCAGTATAGATAGTTGAGCTGTATGAGTACACCATGTAGCCTCAACATGTTGCAAGCATGTTTTACATGTAATTGCTTAATGTAATTATTATTTCGGATAATGAATTTGGGATGACTTTCAACGAGGACAGGAAAATAGATCAAGGGGAATATATATTCACATAAACTTTATTTATTCATAGTCTACAGTTTTGTGACCCACTTCAGTGACGGTAGTGAGGAAGATCGTAACGCAAAGTGAATGCAATTTTTTTTCACTACCGTCACTTCGTGAAAACAGCGACGAATAAAAAAGTAAAACATTTCCCTATTTTTTCCCTTTTACTGAAAAATAACCCTGATACATCCATATTTTTCATCCCTTCCTTCCTATTTGCACACTGATTGTCACTTCATATCAAATCAGTGCTTTCCATCATTAAAATGAATTTTATTGGGTGTAATTGAAAATATCCTCTGGAATCTTATTTGCTCTAGGTTATTTTTGAGAGGAAGGAGCAAGGAGATGAATCGCTGTTTCATATAAAGATTTTGTTAATAAGGAAATTAGGGGAACGTGAAATCAGGCATTTGATAATGAATCAATTTATGATGTTTTATTTACTCAGATAAAATTGAATCATGGCTCCTCCCATCACAGTCACGAATTATCAATAGCAATATGAATCAGGACAGAGTTGAGACCCAAGCTAAACTGAGAGAAGAAAATATTTTCATAACTTTTTGTTAGTCTTTTTTCTTATATATATATATATATATATATATCTTTCTCCTTTTTTGATCTTTCTCTCTCTCTCTTTCTCTCTCGCTCTCTTCATATATATATATATCTTTCTCTCTATCCAATTATCCCTTTCTCATTTGTTTTGTCTTTATCTTCTGTAATCTTCTTTTTTATAGGTCATATATGATTCTAATTTTTATGTCACTCTTGTACTCTTTCTCTTATTTCCTTTTATTATGTTATCATTTTCTCTCTCTCTCTCTCTCTCTCTCTCTGATCTTATTTTGTACCATTACATCTCTCCCCTTTCCCATCCCTTCCACCTTTCTTTCATTTCTGCTTCATATCTTTCTCTCTCACCTTCTCTGGTTTTGCCCTTGCAGAACTGCTAAAATTAGACGTGTACCAACAAGTTATATTAGAATGCAAAATATCAAAGCAATGGAAATCATAGAAGTTACTTTTTTATTATAGAAATTGTAGTTTTTATTCATTTTTTTTAATTATCACATTGGATTATTCATCTTCTTTTTTATTTATCCGTATGGCAATCCCAGTTTGCAGGTAGAGTACTCCTAAACTGATTGAAGGAGAAAGCAGCTGTACAACAATAGACAATAGATGGCGCTATCTATATTTCTCACTTTGGAGTTACTAACATTTTGGTACTTTTACTCGAAAGATGAACCATGATTTTGTTCAACATCCTTGGACTGTCTTTCAGTGAGTTTGTATTCACCTAAGTCTGAAGTAATATGAAATATGGTGTAATAAAAAAGATGGAATTCCCCCTAATTTACCATCCATTAGTAACAAACTAAGTTTCAATTTAAATATTGTGTAGCAAAGTGCAGCAACATCATTTTTATTGTATGTTATTTCATACTTTTTGCTGGGCTTCTGTCATTTTCTTTTTTGACACAGGGATTCCTCCTGTCTGTTTTGTACATTCGTTTGAACTTACAGTATTCTTCAAATATATTAACTATATACAATATATTTTATACTTGCAATAAATAATAGGCAAGATATGTCAAATTTTCTGAGCATGACAAACTCTGACTTCAGATCATATTTCAAGGAGATCTCTTTTGCAAAACAGAAAAGTACTCTGTGCAACTCTTATATACACATGAACGGACACAAGACTGGTCCAATCAGATATGAAACCTGTGTTTGTATTTAGAGTGCAACATGCACTTATTTTCTTAAAACATCGTGAGCATTTATTTCAAGCTGTTAAGTAGACTACCATGCTGATATACATATGGGTATAGCATCATAATATCATTCATGACAGGACAAATTGACACTCTATGTTGGCTTGAACCCCTGGTTCAGAGTCCTTTCCTCTGGATACAGTCCTGGTAGTTGTTACCATGGTAATAGTGATCATCTATAGAGGGCGTGGCAGTCCTCCACATCATGTTGGTATTACGTCATAACATCATCCATGATTGGAAAATTCACACTCTGCGTGGTCTCGACCCCATGGTAGTAAGGCTTGTTCCTGCTGATGCAGTCCTGGTAGTCATTACCACGGTGATACCACTGACACTCCTGTCCCTGCTGGATGATGCAGGTAGCATAGAGAGCCTGGCAGTCCTCCACCCCATTCACCATGCTGGGGGCGGGGTCATAGATACACCCCCCAGCTGTTCCTCCACCGGTGTTCTGCCTGAACCCTCCCATGGTAGACTGGATCTGTGATGGAACATAAATTAAGGAGATGAAAGTCAAGGGTGTGGTCCTAGCTCACTTAACCTGCTGGTTACCATTGAATTTAGTATAGCATATAATTCCATAGACTCAATCTCTAGTTATCTTTGGTTAATTGTTTTTTGTTCATTCATCAGCACAATTTGAAGAGCTTATAGTATCATACTAAAAAATAGTTTACTACTTCTTATCCTCCATGATTGGTATAAAAAGGGTGTGCCTCTTTTCTTTTTTCTTTCTTTCTTCTTTCCTTCCTTTTTTTTTTTGGCCATACCCCCTGCCCACTCATAACAAAGAAGGTTAGGAAAGAATGTGAAGACTAATAATTAAGTTTCTAAATGTGAAATGAAAGTAGCCTGAAGATATTGAAACTTAGAAATGGTTCAGATACAGTATTCTTGGAGAAGAAATTACACCATCCCCCCAATTTTTTTTTGTTAAATCTTCAAATTTTAAGAATAGGTAGTGGACTTACCATGCACTGAGAGCAGTATGCACTGTAGAAGTTCTTAATTCCTTTTTTCTGTTCCTGTGTTACATCTCTCCATTCCTGTATCCAATCACATGCACTGATGTGAAGCTCACCACCAACAACGCTACCTGACAAACAAAACAATACATTTCATTAATATTTTTCCTCCAGAGAGAAAAGGAAAAGTTACATCTTTACAAGTGATAATATTTATTTCAGATGTGATATCAGAATTATCCTTTGGTTATGTGTATTTATAGTCACAACAGGTTTCAGAAGCATGCAAAATGTATGAAGTTTCTTTTTTCAGACAGTTTTATTGTTCATAGCATCGGGTTGACATTTTGGCACACTTACATTATTAAGTGCATTATTGTGTTCTCATAAAAGGCATAATATTGTCAAGAGTCAAGTAAGATATATTTTTTGATGATTTAAGTTGGCGTGTGTTATCATTTATGGGATCAATTGCAAATTATCAGGCAGAAGGCTTTAAATCATATACATGGACATAATTAACACCCTTCTGGCTGTCCACATTCAATGATGATAGTGATTTGAAGGCATGATATATGCTTACCTGCTATGAGATACTTTGTTCCTATCCTGAGTGACTTGGGTCCACAGAGACTGTCCCCTGGTGAGGGCAGGATAGACAATGGGAACCCTGACGCACCCTTCTTCAGATTCTCATTCTCCTTGAAGATCTTGTCCACGTTGATCACATACTCAAATTGACCAAAGCGCCCTCTCAGTTGTATGTCGTCTATTGGATTCTTTTCCAAGACGTGTCCTGTTAGCACTGTTAGGAGATCAAACATAAATAGAATTTAATTAAATTGACTATGAATAACCTCTTGTATTTTAGAACTACATGATATCATACTTTTTGATTTCACAAGTGGATTGAAAAAGTGACTGTGAAGTGCATTGCAACCCCTCTTTCTATCCCTCTCCACTCTCTCTCTTTCTCTCTATCTATCTTTCTATCTAACTATCTATTGTTTAATCACTCATTACTCTTGGTCTTTTTAAAAGTTTGTTTCAATTGTTTTTTTCTTCAAATGCTGGTATGGTGCTGAATATAATAATGCATAGGATCCTGTCTGAAAATGGAGTGAAAGATAGAGGAAAGACTTTAACTTCTTGATACTGTCTGCCATTCATTAAAAAACGGTCACCCTTTTACTGCAGATTGAACAGAAAGACTGTCATGTATCTATGTTCATCACAGCTTTTAAATGCAGACTAAACTTTTATGAGACTCAATATGACCCAAAAGTATTAATCCAGCTTGTTTGCAATGGCTGTTCATTTAACAAGAAATGTAAGAAAAGTCAAGACCATATTCTATAAGTCAAGAGAATAAAAACTTACCAAAATTTGCCTTGCAGTATTGCTGCTGAGGATGAGAAGGTTGACACATACAGGCAAGAGCAGAGGTCACCATGGTAACCAAGATACAGCATCTCATTATACCAGATGAGGATGATTTCAGATAGGATGCCATCTTTAAATATGATTTCAGTACACTTCCAAATTTTCAGCCTTAAAATTCTATTTCACTCGGAGTCAAGTCTGCTAATTATTCCAGGTTGCTGGTCGCTTGGTGACTTTGTAAGAAACTGACTGATTTTGGTGACTGGATAGATATTTAAGCAGTTCTTGACCAATCAGCCTGGTTAATCTTTAACCTACGGATGTAGTATCAAAGGGCTCTTCCATTCATGATGCGATATCCCCTCCTTCAGTGATTATGTAATCTCTCTCTGTTGACCAATTGCGATAGGATTGTTTCATTCTGAGTCAATGCACTTCTGCCTGAGTAAGCTGTGAAGTTTGAATAAGGACGTTATGTCAACCTAGGCGTTGCTTCAGATCATTTTATGTTCAGGCAGGGGAAGTAGGGACAGGAAAGAGATGACGTCAAACTTTCCGTCTGAGAGACGTGTTAGCAAACCATTTCCAAGAAATTAAGGGAAGTTCGCACTTTCTGACTTTTAAATTCTGTGATTTGATTTCATGTGTCAAGAGACATTGAATCAACCCACATGATTGCTGAATTCTCCCATAGGTTTCATTCCAGGACAGACCACCCAGTTTCTCAAGACAATGGGTTAACATACTTTTCTTTGCAACGAATCCATTTTTTTTCTTCCATTTCTATTATGTCTCGTATGTCATAGACATAGTTTAATTTCTCATTTGTCCAAGACAAACAGACAACTTGTTTTAAAGTGATCTCTTCCACAGAACTCGAAAATAATGTTTCATCTGTAAAAGTTTGAGTTAACCTCCTTCTTGCAGACCATCTTATACACTGCCCATTTGTTCAGAGCCAGAAGGGTGTTAACTCTGTGTCTCCTGAAGGCTATTGTATCCATTGTCCGTATATTGTCTGTGCACAACCAGAAAGCCGTTCACTTTATGTTAAAGTTGAGTTTAATTACACCCTTCTAGCAGACGATCTCATGCATTACCCACATAACATCTGTTCGGAGCCAGCAGAGAATTATCTCATTTTAGACAGTATTAACCTTCTTTTTATCTCCAAGCAGATGAGAGTGCGTACCTGGACGTACTTCTCAATGTCATAGCATGCATGTATGCACGGTAGATGGAAGAGCCAACATTCCATTGACTGGCTACCGATACCAACCAACCAAATGGTGTCTTTGTCCGTAACTATTGACCAATCTGATTAAAGATGACCTCATCCTGATCGCACCGGATCCGAGCTGCTTCCGAAACTTTTTTCCTCCCTTGCATCAGCTGTAACCCACCAAGATTAAGCAACTCATGTAATTAGAAGCCTCCAGAAATGCTATCCAATTTGAGAAGAGTGGGATTTTTGCTTATTTCATGATAGACCGATAGGGAAAAGGAAGTGTTAAGGACATGTGAATTATCTTTAGAACTATTTCTTTTAGTTCCATTCAAAATTTAATCAGTGAGCATTGTTTTCTCCTAAATTGTCCATTACACCACTAACCAAAACCTTGCAAAAAATGATACAAGAATAAGAAAAATGTTCTCTCCCAGTTTGTTCAAAGAAATCTTTATTAATTTTAATTTTAAAAGCAATAGACACTTTTTAAAGACAGGCATCGTATAGACTACAGTCCTGTATAACCATTTTGTTAATACGAGTGCAAAATGTAACTGTCAACTTCTTTTTGTGGTAAGGATTCAAGTGGTAGATGTGTTGTCAAAATAGTAAAGATCTCATCTTCATTATTTTGGTAAATATATAGATGATTTGCCGGAAACAGGCTTAGTCCTTTGCAGTTTTGATAATGTTTCTAGCATTTTTTCTTTTTTAACAGAACAACAGATGATATGATCTCTAAATGGAAAGGAAACAGAATGAAAGAAAAATGGGGGGGGGATGCTTTACCCATAAAAAATCCAACCCAAGTCTAACTTTATTACAAGTTATTGCCCTCTCACATAGATAATTGTTTACTTCCACCACTGATCAAACCAACAAACAAATAAACAAACAAGTCGGCATCCTCTTTTATGAGAAAGTCTTGTTGTATTAAACAAGATGTATTGTCACCATGGTAGGATTTTTGGTGATCTAATTCTGTGTTTGTTTTTCAAGTAACTCATTCCTGGTTCATATTCTTCCTGTCCATGGCCTGTATAGATTTCATGGAAAGCAGCGTGACTTGGCAATGAAGTATTCCAGCCTTTGTTCATTACAATGAGGATTTGGTTACTATTATTCTACTCATTTGTTGATTGTATAGAATTTTTGTCCAACATAAAAGGTACTATATGTAACATTTTGATGTGTTTATGAAAGCAATTAAATTGCACACCAATCTGGTAATGTAAGATAAACCACCCTGGAATAAGGTTTTTAAAATATTAAGTTTATTCCATGGTTTAAATACCCTTATAACCATAGATAATAGTCATTTGTAAGGAATTGTATTCCTTCGTTTTCAATCAATCCTCTTATCATGTCTCTTATTACATTTTGAACTGTTTTTCAATATTGCAATTTTTTAAAATTTGAATAACAGATTTAACCCATGCTTTGCTCACTGATTTGCAAACTTCATAGTAAATTGATATCAACTGTATCAACACATATGATGAATCCTCACAATAGGACAAATCATAACTGTTTTATACCACTTAGCTTTAAATTAGAAATATTTATATATTTCTTTTTTAATATTTTCTCATAATGTGTAAAATATGAAACAATGAACTGAAACATCATCTAAAACACTGTATGCATCCTCTTTCTATCCCAGTAGAAATACAAAATCAAGAGCAGTAGTTCCTAGTCTATAGGTAAATAGAACTATTAATATTATCAGCTTCCTTAAATGGTAACATTGAAATAACCAGCTTCATCCAGTTTTAACAATTCTACAATTCATGCAGTTCCATTTTCATCAAATACATCATGTATGTAAAAAGCATGTAAAGCATCCGAGTAGCAGATGTCTAATTTCAGAATATACTTTGAACAATGGAGAATTATCTTGGTTAGGATGTTGAGTTTGATAAATACAAGGACTTGGTTTGCCATTATCGATCATGTGACCATAATCATGGGAAAAGAACATTCAAACATTTGAAACTACAGTGCGTCCCAGAAAAAACGAAACAGAGAATTATCGATGTTTTATCATAAATTAATCACAATTATAATTAGTAAATGACACATATTTGTAAAGCTTAGATCCTCCTCTTTCGTTTGCTGCAACTCATATGATGCATATTTCATGCATGAGTGATTAAAATCAATTTGAAGAGAGGGAACCAAAAAGTCATTTGGCAGACGGTATCTGAATTTCAAAGAGAAAATCACATTTCTAGAAAGTTCAGTTTCTGCCCTTTCATATGTCACTTCAATCAGGAAAAATGAACAAGGAATAACAAAGTTCTGTTTGTTAAAAGTAATGCTTGCATTTCCATAATTTGATTAAAAAAATTCGTTTTCACTGGCTGCCTGCCGTACCAACAAACAGATTTGGCAAAAGAAATGTTGAAATAACTTGAAGGTCCTTTTACCACTGAGAGATCCATGCTGAATTCCATGTGTCCTTTGTCCTTTGTGAATGGATATGTTTGCCATTCAGCTTATCACACCTAATTAAGCTGATTGATTCTCTTTATAGATCGTATTATACATTGCGCAATTGTACTTGTCTCCTTTATGATGTCAGGCATGGCATATTGTGCAACTCATCCTTGGCCCAAGACCTTTTCTTTTTAAATAATAAAGGTCACTTTCATCACTAAAAATTCACTTGGATTCTGTTCTTTGACCAGAAAATGTGATAGTTTATGCTTCTTTCTTTTTCAAATACGAGCACCCCCCGAAGTTAAAGGTAATACAAAGTTTTGGTATGGGTTCATGAATTTGGTTCAAATGGAAGCATAGGCGATCCTACAATATTCAGTGATCGTTGTCGCGGTTGAAATCGAGTCGAAAGTTATTGAATTGTAAATAATAAACTCTTTATGTTGTATAGTTCCCTCTCAAGGTCAAGATATTAATTAAACTATAAAACAATGGTTCTTGACTGAAATCAATCGATTTGCTTTTCCCGTTTTTAAATTATATATCACAACTACATATTCTGAGATTTTCATGGTCGCAGCTACTGTTGTACGGCCGTAGGTGCTATTTTAAATTTATCAAAATTTACCGGGAGCACCAGTAAATTTTTATATGCAATTTTTCTCGAAAGCAGAAGTGTTTTGTTGGCTAATTTTTCTAGTGCTTACAATACATTCACAGGGGCATCCAAATATATCAAAATTGTAAAGAATCACAAATCACCCAATTTTCAAAATTTCCCAAAACTTATACCTTTAACTAAAGTGTTTATATTTGGGCAACCATTATCTCTTATTTAGACAGTAAGGTGCCCAAATAATCTCGTATTTGGGCAGCAAAGTAGCTGAATATATCATTTCTATGTATCATCATGTGCAATTTGATGACCATCATTATTTTTGTTTGCTAACTCACATGCAACATGTATACACTATATCCGAATAAAGTTTGGAGTGGACTATTAGGCTATTATTATTATTATTATTATTATTATTATTATCAGCCCCATTCCTGGAAATGGCCTTTATGCATTTAGATTATGGGATCCACATCATAAGATGTTGATAAAATATACTTCTTGTGCTATAATTTGTCATATCTGGAGGTGGTTTTGTTCAATGAAGAGCATCACAAGTGGTCTTTAGGATTCTCAGCCAGCTGTAAGCTAAAGTTCCTACCAGATTGACATCTAGCCGAATCCTGATGATACCAGATCCCAAATTAATTAAGACTGATTGACTATTTTACCAAGTAAATGAAAACTTATTCTAGTGAGAACAATTTGATTATCATAGAGTCTTTGAAATGACTTTGAGAGGGTCTCTGTTTATGTAATACGAACATAGACCTCCCATTTTGCATGGAAGTATTATGTCTTCGCAAACAAGGCCAACAATCACAAAGTCTAACAAAGGATAAAGGAGATATCTCGTCATTACAATACAATTACTTTGATAAGGATACCTTGCAATGGAGTTTTATACCTGTATTTGCAGGGTCTTCAATGTTAAAGAAACCTGGATAACTTGCAATATCTCTCAGACAATGTTAAACTTATCTATAGTTGATTGCTGAACAACTCAAACATGTTAAACTAGCTATTGTCTGTTTCTTAGAATGGCTAGGCTACAGACTGTAACCATGAAAATTGTCTCTTATTTAAAAACTGTTATGTAGTTTTGAGTGACAATTAATATATTGCTATTTCATGTTGGAATTGGTTTCATAATTCTTTG